ATCTCGGCTCACCGCAACCTCCGCCTCCCTTGTTCAAGCGATTCTCCTTGCCTTAGTCTCCCGAGTAGCTGGGATTACAGACGTCTGCCACCACACACAGCTAATTTTTGTATTTTTAGTAGAGACAATATTCTGAACGCAGAACAGGTGGAGGATGGGGCTCTGGCGCCACCTCTGCGGAATCCCAAGCCCGCTTCGCATAGCCAAAAAAATGTTGCCCTATCGCTTAAGCCTCAGAGCAGGACACAAGCATTTGTGCTGATCAAGGAGGCAGAGCCTTTAGCGCTACCATCACCCTGGGTATTGATGCGCTCCGGAACCCGTGGGCGGAGGCAAGCCAGCTATTATGAGGCTTAGTAGTAAACAATGCACTAAGATTAGTAGACAAATGAAAAACGATAAAATTTTACAGATTACATAGAACCAAAACAAACTGTAATTTCGACAACATAGCGAGAAAAGAAACCGAAATGAAACGGACGCTAAGCAAACCTTGCAGAGAACGGAGCGCTACAGATTGCAGGGGTTAAAGAGGCTTCAGGGGCCAAGAACGAACTGTTTCCAGGAAATGAGCATTGCTGCCACCGGAACCTGTCCGCTAGGGCTCTGCGCTACTAAGACCTCTCTAAGGAGAAACTGGCAGCGCTGGGACTCAGCAAGCGCTGGCACCCAGCGGATTGCGCTGGTGTTGCCAAACAAATATTTGTTTTGGCGCCGTAAACGGTACTGCTAGAAAGAAACTGCGGGCTCTTAGAAAGGAGCGGTGCCTCGACGCCTAAACATCCTGTTTGGAGGAATGAATCCACTCTGTTTAAATGTGTCGTGACAGAAAAATGTGTTGTAGCATTTTAATGTGTTTTAAGCCGTTTAATGTGTTTTAACCTGTTTAATGTGTTGTGACAGGAAAAGCGCCGGCTAACGGTACTACGAAATTACTAGTGGGTACAGCGGCTGGCTGCAATCACCATTCTCCATCATAAAACCGGGTTCAGGAAATTCCTAGGAGATACATGTGGGTAACCCCCCATATAGGTACCGAGGAAAGAGAGCTAAGCAGAATCCTGGCACAATTAGGGCCTGAAGAATATCTCAGTTTATAGTGTTACTACTCAGTTATTCCCTTTTATATAATCCTTTATATATAATCACATATTAGCTTATAGAATTAGGGATTGAAGAAATCTCAGTTTATATTGTTACTACTCAGCTATTTCCCTTTAGATAATCCTCTCCCTATATAATCATATATTAGTTCATATATTCTGAGTGCCTAAAGAGTATCTTACCAGTTATTTCCATATAGATACATGTAAAACTGCATACTGCACCCCCTTGCTGCACACGGCCCACCTCCTAGCCTAGGTGACCTAATGGGGGTGGACCCCTGGTTTTATTGCTCACGACCCTAATCACTATCCTTAAAGATCACTTCACTCACTACCCTGCCCCCTAACCTATACCCAATAAACACAGACCCTTCTGGACATTCTGGGCCTCACCTGCCTCCGTTTACAGGTTGTGCAGCCCGCGCCCCGCCCCCAGCCCAGCTGCGTTTTCCTTATACTTCTGTGTCCTGTCTCTTTATTTCTCAGATTCTGCGCCTCAACACAGCATAAGGGACACCCCAAGACCCTATAGGGACCTTGGCCCTACAGATAGTAGCGGTGAGAGAACCAAGAAAGTGACAGCACCGAGAACATAAGGACCTGGTGAACAGGAAATGTCCGGTTGGGCGCTAAGAACGGTGCAGCAACTGAGAAAATGCTAGTGCGCTCTACTGGCAAAAGTGCTGGTGCAAAACCACCAGCTCCGCAAAAGCAGCAGAGCCACCCAACACAACCTGGGACCTGACAGTAGCGAGACTGAGACCGAGCTCGGCTCCTTGGCTCTTGAGAGAATGTAAGTTAAGGAGCAGGAAGCCGAGATACTCAAAATTAGTAGGAAAAAACATAACATTTAGGGGCCGGGCGCGGTGGCTCAAGCCTGTAATCCCAGCACT